AGTATTGTAAGTAGAGCGTGAAACTGTCGGTGTGTCTGTTGACGCGTCCTACAGGGCTGTGGGATCGTACGCCATTGTACGCATCGAAGCATGCTGCAGTACTCGGCTAATTGTTTTATGCATTCTTAGCTCTGTGATTTATTGCTTCCACGGCCAGGCCGCGGCGATTACTTGACTAAATGTTCACGTCATTTTGACTTAATTCGATTTTGTCATCTGTGAAATATGCATTCCACATAACGGGCGACCACTCCATGTAAACGACATGTTTACGAACTGTTATGACTTCATAATTTAGGTCACACATAATTTTATTACTATTCATTCTTGATATGAAATGATATTTTTACATTCTTTCATTTAAATAGATTTATATTTTTACATACAGATAAAAATAAGTTTTTCGTAATAATAAACGGAGAGACGTCACGTACACGAAATGTATATATTTTTTACATTACATACAGACACTCCAATTTCATGAATTATGTAGATTGTAGTGAAAATATGGCGATAACATCTTAAAAAGTTTTATCTTCGGAAACTTTAATATCCTTTTCTTTCTAATAATGTACAGAATGAAATCTATGAGACAAATATCTTACTATCATTATCCAATTGTATAAACTCATCAGATCATACAAGCAAGTTTTTATAACAATAAAATATAAAATATTCTGATGTACTGAGTACAATTTACTTTTTATTTCCGCATGCTTAAACTATTTTTTCATTTATATAAATAAAAAAACCAGTTCCATAGTCCAGAAAAAACCCCATTTTTGTAGCAAGAAGCGGCCTATTAAATAAATACCTTCGATTATATTAAATATAAACTTAAAACAATTGATGCTATATTTCTACTTTCAATCTACGGCATTTATTGATCAGTCGCTATAATACATACATATATTATCTTTATATTTGAACAAACTATTAATTAAATTTCTATCTAAACTATATTCGCTAACAAATTATAATAAAATAAAATTATAAATATCTGCTATAAATACAATGAATTGTGATTCGTATTCTATATTTTCGTAACTTTCAATTATTAAGCAAGAGACGGGGAAAGTTGTAAGTTTTTTCCCAATCCTACGCTCCAGTAGTCCAACGGTGGCGGTGTCTTACAATTTCATAGCTTGCAACATTACTAAGTATCGCGAAACATTTCGCAAACTCGATTTAATTTGGCGTCAAACAGTCCGCCTTTGTTTCCGGTAATGTTCATATCATTAATCTCTCGTGGCGTGTTTATGTGTAATATAATTTCGTATTTTAATGTAATATTTAAACATATTTTAAGAATTAAAAAAGTACATGGAACGTTTTGCTATGGTACCAATATGGCTTGACAATTTTTTAGGCATTATCATATTCATACTATTATTCATACTATTATAAATGCGAATGTTTAGATGGATGGATGGATGATTGTTTGAAGGTGTCTCCAGAACAACTGAACGGATCTTGATGAAATTTAGTATATATATAGAACATAGTCTAGAAGAACGCATAGGCTTCTAATTATATTTTTTTAATTGCGCGCCATAGAGTCGCGGGCGACCGCTAGTTAATGAATAAAGAATGTCTACAGAGCTATCGTGATATTGTTTACAATAATTGACGCTTGTCGTCGACAGCGCTGTCCTCACTATTCCTCCATTTACAATGACTGTCATAAAACCCATTAATGGTAACAATCTAGACTCCCGTATGGTTCTGGTATACGGCCAATAACTCAACATGACCATTCTAGGTCGGTACGTGGTACGCGGTTAATTAGTGTGGGTTGAATTATGTAACGCGACGGGCGTATTTCTTTTATGACATAACCTTGAGTGTACACTTGATTCTTGATCAGTAATTGAGATATTTTTATTGCTTCTTGTTTACATTAACATCTAGCTGGATTGCTTCCTGATCGTTTTGAATATTATTTGCTTAGCTTTAACGAGCTGTTGCAATGTTTATTGAAAGTACTTTCTATGTTTAACGATTTATTTACAAGGTTTATTAAGAAGTTTAGTAAACTAAATAAGAGTTTTTGTTTAACAATTAAAACACGTTGCGTTGGTTTTTTCTACCTACTAATAACTTTTTAAAATACAAATTAAATTGTATTTCAATTTTGACACCTACAATGGTTTGTCATTAATCATTTAGTTGTGATATTTTATTAACTATCACTTAGTTTTTGTTCTTATTATAATTTATAAATATCATATCAATTGTGCAACTGAATCACCTTCGTAACCAAATGAGTAAAAGGTTGTGTTTAAATGAATGTTTCCGGAATCATGTTTACTGAAAAGTTTCAGTGAAAGTGACTACATTACGTGTTGCTTGCGCGAAGGCCGTCTCTCTTTTTACAATGAAAATTTGTTATAAAAAGTTTATGAACAGTATTGAACAAGTGTTTTGAATATTTAATTTACATAATTTCTTTGTAATATTGTGCATTGTGCGCCATCTGTGATGATAAGTGTAAACTATTAGCGCCATCTAGTAGAATTATTGATTTACTGTGGTTAGTCGAGAAGAAATTTCATTTATCCAACAGATGGCCCAATAATTAAACAATGTTCCAACTACTAAACAACGTTAACGCATTTTATTTAGGAAGTTAATTAATTCGAGTAGATTGTGAATATCTCTATTAAAGTTGCTTTCTCAACAGTCATGCGACTATCATAATCTTTAAAACATTTTCAAACACAAAAAGTTCCGATAGATGGCGCTATCTCTAAAGTAGAAATTGATGTAAATTTGAATTCCAAGGAAAAGGGTTTTGAAGCCAAAAAAGGTTCAGAACCGCCGCTTAGAGCAACCCCGGATCATAGCAACATGATGTAAAACTGAGCTACAGTCACGTGTGGTTTCACACAAACAATGGCGGGAGAGACCGTCACGCAAGCTGCGCCCGCGCCGCCCGCAAAATACAATTCCTTTATGCTATTGCTATTTACCCGGGTCTACTTGTTAACTTAAAAATTAGAATTGATGGAATTAACATTTTACAAATATTAATATTGATTATTAAGTTTATTTGGTTTTAAAATTACTCAGTTAATAAAATATAGTACAGGCAGAGTATATAATAAATTTTGGTGGACTAAAATAAGATTTAAATTTATAAACATGAGAATTTTATCTTAAATATATGCTCATTGAATACAAGATAAGATAAATACGAACACGTAATGTCTACTAATATCGAAAACAAGTGAAACTTGGCCTTCAATTAGAGTTTATTACAGCTTAATCGACTCGCTCCGGCGTCGGCAGAGCCTTAATGAAACGCAAATTTAATACACGCATATCTAGTTTTGTTCGACTCTCGTATGCAAAACAATTTATTTTTACTTTTTGTAATCTTTTTAATGTTTACCACTATTTTATATGCGCAGTAGCAGCAGTAGTAAGGTTACTCAGGTTTATACAATTTTTTTGTATTCGAATTCTCAATTGAGTACATAATCTTATTGCTCTTTGACTATGATATTATTGACTTTCTTATGAGTAATCTTATATATAAAATTCTCGTGTCACAATTTTCGTTCTCGTACTCCTCCGAAACGGCTTGACCGATTCTCATGAAATTTTGTGAGCATATTGAGTAGGTCTGAGAATCGGCCAACATATATTTTTCATCCCCCTAAATGTTAAGGGTAGTCTACCCCTAAATTTATATTTTAAATTTTTAGACAAACACGCGGAAAGAGTCGCGGGCGACAGCTATTGAAAATCTAAAATCGATAAACTTTCAAAAGTTGTTACACACTATTTATTATTTCTACCAAACTAAACGTTTTATTAATTTAATCTGTTAATTAGTAATAATTTTAACATAAGAGTAACAGTAACAAAAAGTTTAATTTATATTGAAACTCTACTATATTAATAAGTTGCAGACGAATCCTTTTAAAATTCAAAAATCATTGAGCATCAAAGAGCGTTGCGAAATGCCGACAGAGGTCGAGATTGAGATCATCGCTCTTTTCTGCGTCGAATACATTTTATCTATGCATTCATCGGCAGCTAACCTTCGCAATTAAATATGACTTTTGAGTAAAATAGTGCAACAATAGCGTCGTTTGCCGACAACAATGAACGTTATTCCGCCGCAGCCGACCTCAGAGTTACTAAACACCGGCACGACACGAGAAGCGCCCGCTAATCGTCATTTAAACGATCTCTAGACTCTGCGCAACGCGTTATTAGCGTTGCGTTAAGCGTTACCAAGGTCGACTTGCATCATGCTTTCTAACACCCCACACCCGGACTACTGTCCCCGCTTAACATTCTGACAGCGCGACGATTTATTTAAATTCTTCTCACCTCTTAACCTTTTAAATTTGATTGAGAAATAACCAAATAAAATAGTTTCTTACTAACCATTGTTTTGAGAACATACAATTGACGTCGATTGAATATATTTCAATAAAGTTGTTAAATGAAACTGAAATCATCGAAACAGTTCGCTGACTGCAACCTTGCCTTTGTATCGAATGAGAAACTAATGAACCGCAAAACATTATGATGGACCTCAATATCAAGAGATTTCACTAGTTTATTTACGCTTGTATCGTGCTTCAGACAATGTGTTGACTCACGAACGTAACGCAGAGTTCATCATTGTTGGATATTATGATCACGAAAAGTAGAAACATGCCCTTGTTTATTGTTTTCACAAACAAATTACCGATTTAATATGAGCTGCAATGTTAGCGTGTTGATGTAAAAATTGATCGTAATAAGCAAAATTTTAAATTTCATGATCTTAAAATGGAAATCAAATAATACAAAATTTAATTAGACAATTATCTTAAATCGTTTGCTATTTACGGGTTTAGATAGCTCATTGTTATAAACATATAACAATATGATGCAAAATAAATCATAAAATTAAAAATGTTACAAAGTCTTTACCACTTTTTGTAAATAAATATAATACATGTAACAAATTAGCTAACATTTTCCATTTTGTTGTTTAGTGCTGGAATGATGGGCGAGGGCCTGCTGACTCTGACGTACGGCAAGCACCACGCCTGCATCTTGAACGAGGTAGGCGCGGCGTGGCGCGGCGCCCGCTACTCCGACCTCGTGCTGGTGTGCGACGACGCTGTGCCCCTCGCTGCGCACCGTATTGTCATGGCCGCAGCCAGCCCCTTAATAAGGTAATATCATTAAACACTTATGCATGCAACCCTTAGACAGGGCAGGGCGGACAGAACTTATAATTCTTTGTTTTACTTATTACTTTTCTTTAACGGATGGTTGGATGGGTTTTTATTAGAAAGAATCTCCAGAAAGGCTACATGAATCTCGCTGAAATACAGATGTAGAACGTAGTCTTTAGTTTTTTTTTTAATTTGGGCCTGATAGTTACATATCAACAACAGTAAAAAGTGTGATTAACGGAAAATTACAGAAAATCTAAGATTTTACTATATTATTAAGCTTCTAAATCAACAAGTTTTTATGTTACAGAAAAATACTTGACGACACACCATCAGTCGAGAACCCGGTCACGATTCACATGTCTGGCATCAACAGCACGCTCATGAGGCACCTCCTCATGTTCCTCTACAGCGGACAGGCGTACATTGAGGTAAGTTTCCTTGCTATGATCATACTCAAATCAAGTAATGCAAGTGAAAAAAATGTACCTAAATCTGTTTTACACCAAAATAATTGAGGTTTCAATCTTTTGAATTTTAATGGATCCATAAATTTATTTCGTCTTTTTAATTTTTCAGTCTGGAGAAATCGATGATATGCAAGAGCTGTTTGAATTATTAGAAATAAAATCAGACGTTTGGAAATCAACAAAGGAACGGCAACAACAGGAAGAAAGGAACAGATCATGCGAAAGATTAAAAGCCAAAAGTCTTAAAACAGATATAAACAGTAACGAGAGCAGTAAACACGATGCACCCTCAGGATCTTCACATTCAGAAAGCGACAGAGTGACTCCGAGCGCGGGATACAGTAAAGAGAAAGAAAGAGAAAGAGGCGATTCAGAATCAATGAGTATAAAGAAAGAGACGATGTCTACAAGCAGTAACGATGAAAGAGATGAAGATGATCCAGACGGAGAGAACAGGGGGAAGGAATGTAGCCGATTGTCAAGACGGCGGAGAAGCTCCTCAAATCCCGTAAACCTATCACTGGCAAGAAATTCTGAGAATACCGGCAGCGAACACGATGACTCCCAGGACTTAGATGTTGAAACAGTCGCGGCTAAGGTAAATATGATTTCATTTATCTCTAAAGCTTTATTATAGAACGATTATAACATTTAAACATTTCTATCATACATAAATTTTTGTGATTAACTAACAGTAGTTATTTATAATTTTCAGAACATCGATAGGAGAAGGTCGACATCGTCCAGTCAAGAGGATCCACCGCAGGAAACAGTATACAGACGACAACTATTAAATGATCGATTAGGAAAAGGCATCGAAAGGACCAAACGAAAATCACATTATCTTGAACCTCCCGAATTGGATTTGCGAACTGTAAAACTGGAAGACCAACTTAAGCCACCCGACCAAGACCTTATGACATTCGTACAAACGTCGCCGGAAAATTATGTTGTTACCCCACATCGAAAAAGAAGGCCTGGTTTTCACAATTCACCATCACAGAATCCACCATTCGTTTCGTTTCCCCCGAGCTACTTAGAAGAAATGGCACATTTGAGATACGCACAAGGGCCAGGTGTAGCGGCCGGAGTGGCCGGCGCGCGGCTAGGCACTTTCCATCCGCTAAGTGCATCGGCACCTCCGTATTTACCAGAGAGGAGCGCTACTCCACCGGTCGCGGCGCACGAAGACGCCCTGAAGTACCGCCCTCCCAGCGCTGGCTCGTGGGGCCCCTGGCTCTGCCAGCCGCAGATGGGCGGGGACGATAACATTTCTACTGAACATGAACAAGGATCAAGCAAACAGGCACCGGTTCGGGAATATCGTTGTGAGTACTGCGGTAAACAATTCGGAATGTCTTGGAATCTCAAAACGCATCTGCGAGTCCATACTGGCGAGAAGCCATTCGCTTGTCGGCTTTGCGTTGCTATGTTTAAACAGAAGGCTCATTTGCTGAAGCATTTGTGCTCGGTGCATCGTAACGTAATATCTTCGAGTGAGAACGACGGACGAACAAACACGCCGGGCCGCTTCAACTGCTGTTTCTGCCAGCTAACGTTTGAAGCGCTGCCGGAACTCATCAGACACCTCTCGGGTCCTCACAATAGTTTGCTGCTCAGCAAGAACTTGCACGAATGACGCGCGCCTCCGTGACGCTGCAAGGCGCGCGCAATCGGACAATGATATTTCTCTCGCTGCGAGAGCTCAATTGTGATATGTGTTTAAAAGGATATTACTTTAAGTGTTTAGTTGTAAGATAAGTGAAATCGCAGAGCGATACTCAAACCGGGGCATCCGCAGAAGGAGACTGCGGATGTTGTTACGTTTATAAATAATTTAAATTGATCATGTTTGCCGCATGGGTCCAAATTGTTATAATTTGTTTAAAAATTATAATCCGGGACCAATACCTTCCGAGATAGTATTTATTTGAAAGATGTATTTCATTAGCTTAATACATTAATTTAAAAGCCACCGACACATTAATTCCTTAAGGATAGAAAATAGACGTGAACGGCAAAGAAAAGTTGCGAAAATTGTACAACAGTCATCATGCGAATATTACGTAAACTACCTCCTAATTTAAATCAGCGTTCGTGAGAAAATTGGCCACGTTTTGATGGTTTTGTTAGCATTGACTTTACATCTTCAACCAAGTGTTCAATGTGTCAATGTTTCTAGTCAGAATTGGAACTTTTGATGAATCATTGTGTTCATTCACACATCGACACAACTTTTATGTTTCTGTTTAACATATCAGTACCTTATTGTTATACAAATTCAAACTGGTAATGTAAAGCAATGATATTGTAAAATTAAAAGTAAATTTCGCTCTGTTCCAACGCACATCTGACTCGATGTTTCGCAGCTTTTCACCGACAAATAAATCTCAACATTAGGTTTTATCATTTATGTACGTAACTTCTAAAATAAAGAAAAAAATGTGTTCGTAATATTAAATTTTGTTAACTACGCCTTATACTTTCGTTTGTTTGTGCCGATATAAATGCAATGTGGATGAGCACCAAAGATTTGTAAAGCATTAAAAGTGAAGCATGTTTTGGTGTTTACGATTAAGAGAAATTATAGGGACCTGAAATGATTTTGATTTGTTAAAGTAGGTACCAATTAAATAATCTCACCATTGTAAATAATAACTTTCCTCTTAACTCTAACTACTTCGTAATTCCACAGCGAGCTGTCGTAATAAACTTAAATATCTTTCTATTTTTATATTAATTTACTATTTTAGTATTAATAAAGCTTACCAAAAGCTATTTTTCGAGTAAACGTCTACCGATATAACGTTGTTTAGTATAAGACTTTGGAAATCTTTTCTCGAACACATTAGTATCATGGCCAGTTATAAATATTATTTTTAGCTGTATACTAAAATTCTACGTAAGAAATAGAAAGTTGACGCATGAGGCCAAATATTACAAAAAGAAAATGCGTCTGGCAACTCTACCCTTTTTTTAAATACTCATTTTGCACAATGCGTATGCTTTTAAGTACTGTAAAATTCCTTGATGAGGCAATAATATGTGAAAACGTTTATCGAAATTGTTTACTCAAAGAAAACTTTAGTTACCAACGAGTTGTTCAAACATCGTAAACGGCAAATATTGTCGATACGTTTTAATTTATCATTCGATCGTTACCTATTTACCTGATTTTTGTGTTTTTTTTTTTGTATTTTGTTTAGCGTCGTTTATTGACGCGGTCTTTGTAATTGGGGAACAATTTAATATTAAGTTTTGTGATGTCAAGGTATCATTAGATGTGATATAAACTTGTTTTATCTTAAGCGCAAAGAGAACGCTGTCTTCCATTGCGTTTTCCATATTTTCGACTTTTTTTTATTCTTGTATATATACGTGTTAGGTTAAGTGGAACGCATGACAATAAAGTCGTCCTGATACAAAATCCCTGCCGATTTTATACGTAATACGAACAAAATTAATATACTTAATCGCTATGATTTATTTATAGTGTTTAAGATTGTGATAAGCCTTCGTAAGTTGGCCCTGTTTAAAAACAATGCAACATTGATAGTTTCCTATGTAAATGTAATATTTGTTCTTTTATATTAAACCATTACAATTGACTGTTTCTAAACGATATGTAGAATTTAAATAACATTGTTTCGTTTTCTTCAAATTAAGTACAATGCTATCTTATGTGGAAAAATATATTTTGTCTTTAATGAAAATTGTACAGATCGAAAAAAAATATAGAGAAAATTAAATATATCATTTTGACTATATTTTTTTACCTTGTCTATTAAAAACTCTAAAAATGAACAAAATGCACAATAAATCGAAACATTTCTGTCCAATACATGACGTTGTTAATTAAGATTAATTGTAAATATTCTAGTTTGTAAGCGTATGGTGAAATAAAAAGCTTAACTTAATCTTGTTGACCTTGAATATTGATTTTTTTCTGTTGATTGTAAATTAAAAAAAAATATATCTTATAAGTTTTCACATAGTGTACAATTTTTTTGTAGATATTGTTTAGATCATTAACATTCTGTAAAAAAAAATGTGTTCTTACTTTAGTAAATTAAAAATAATGAAAATATTTTAGTTACATAATTGGAATGTTGTTTATTTCCTGCATTATCTCCCGTTTAATTATTTAAGTTCTTACTTCTACTAACGAAATGAGTGGGAGCATAACCTGGTATCAAAATACTAGAGCAACCTATTAACATCCGCAACAGTTATACATGACTTTTCACTGGCGAAACGTCTGACTTCACACATTCCTATCTCAGTTTCGAATTCAGAATTTCGCCTAAATTTTCTTTAGCCTTGCAAAAGGATACGTTTTAAAACTAAGGTTAGGATTTTAAAAAATATTAAGCAAAGATATTTAATTAGTATTAGTGATGCTAACGCAGAGGGGTAGGCAGTGACCACGGACTCCTTTCTTCCTCATTGATACGTCTACGCATACATGCACATCGGGTTCGTGTTCTTGATCAGGCTCTTTTACAGTATTTCATCAATCTAGATATAACGTCTATTCAATGATGATTACAATTTTTAAATAACAATAACAAAAATCAGGTGACTAGCTGTCGTCCGCGCGAAGTTAAAAAAAACTATTGATCGCAGCGTTATGTTATATAGCCTAAAGTCTTCCTCTATAAATGGACTATCCAACAAAATATTTTTTTTGAAATCGGATCATTAGTTCCTGAGATTAGCGCGTTTAAACAAACAAACTCTTCCGCTTTATTACATTAGTGTAGATTTTAATAGTATTTATAGCAGCATAATTCAAAAGTGCAACACTAATTTAAAATAGCAATTTTAAGCACCACAGATATACAAATAAAAAAAATACAGACAAAAACTTAATGCCTTGTTAGCTATGTTTACTTCACCATTAGTGGCCAGTATTTTAATTTAATCCTAATAAAGAAAAATTTCCACAACACAAACGTTTCATATTTGTACACCATAAAATGCTGCTACGCCATAAGTTACCTAAAGGAATCGTATAATAAATTAATATGTCTTGTCGCAAGTACTAATTAACTTGGTAATATTTAAAAATACGGTCAACATAGATGGATAAAATAGAATATCAAAACAAAATCAAAAAGTAATAATCGTTTATTTTACAACTATCTTATTAAACAACGGCTAAATCGACTTGTAGTTAAGTATATTGACTAATTTAAACTTTTAATAAGTTTTTATAATCTTACTAATATAAATGCGAATGTTTTGATGGTTGATGGATGGATGTTTGTTTGAAGGTATCTCCGGAACGGCTGAACGAATTTTGATGAAACTTGTCACACATGTAAAACACAGTTTAGAAGAACACATCGGATAGGTTTCTTTATACTTCTGCGCGGACGAAATCGCGGGCGAAAGCTAGTTCTCACTAAGGTTTTAATTATTTTAATATCATAAAATATTCAACCAGTTTAACTAAAAAAAAATAATAATAAATCAAGCAACAAATGATTGAATTAAATCCAATCGTATTCAAGTGTTTTGTGAATGTTATGACAAATATGATCCGATGTGTGGGAACTGTATAAAGAATCAGAGCAATATTTCAAAACAAAATCAATACCGACTCGGCGAACAATTGAACAAGATCAATTTACAAAATTTCTTTGAGAATTGACAACACATGATCAGTTCCTCTTTAGACCTTACCGGGTGAGTATTAATCGAATTTTTTTCACTTTTAGCTAAATCGTTATATTCTTGTAAGGATTTCTTTTATAAATATAATTATAAAGAGGTATGCCTCCCATGATATGTAAAAAGACTTCATACTTTTTTATTTTAATTACTAGCAGCCGCCCGCAACTCCATCCGCGTGGAATAAAAAAAAAACAAAATTAGTAGGCTCTGTGTTCTTCCAGACTATGTTCTACATCTATGCCAAATTTCATCGATATTCGTTCACCCGTTCTGGCGATACTCAAACAAACATCCATCTATACATCTACAGAACTAATTATAAACCGTAAGTACATCTGTGCCGATCTCCATGTAACGAAAAAAATGTTATACAACTTATTTTAAAAACATTTATACATTAATGTTTACGTGCAAGAAAGATTTTTTTGCTAAGTTATTTTTATCAATTAAAAATGTTTACCTTGTTTACTTAGTATATAACAAATAAACATAATCATCCATAGATCTGCGTACTGCGTACATACAAAATAAAAATAAAAGGCAATTCTCTCTACTTATACGCTATTTAAAAATAGATAGGAAAGATAGAAAATGAAAAACAAAGCTAAGTAACCGGTGCCGACAGATGGCAGACGTGTCTTTTTGCTACTCGACTTGTACTACTCTGGGAACATTCCACTGACCATCTTTTAAGTTTGCGGTGCCATTGGCGTACTGGATGTTGTTAATTATGATGGTATTAAAAACATAATAACTGTTTATTTATATTTATGTAATTAATAAAGCATATGTACAACGATACTCTGCCAGCTATGAACCATCGCTTTACATTTTTTTCTTTGTTTAAACTTGCAAAATTCATAATCTTACTAATATTATAAAAGTTATTCTATGGATTGATGTTTGGTTGAAGGTATCTCCAGAACGGCTCAACGGATCTTTGATCATGAAATTTGAAATAAATAACACAGTCTGGAAGACCACATAGGCTACTTATATATATTTTTTTTCATTTCACGCGAATGGAGTTACGGGTGACGGCTACATAAGTGTAATCTTCTATATATATAAAAATCAATTGCATTTCTTTAGTCTCGCTAAAACTATCGAGTTTAATTATAACGACTGAACGAATTTATCTTATCTTGGTCTTGAAATGGTCGTTGAGGTCTGGGGAAGATTTAAAAAGTGAGGAAAATTCGAATATTTGCCGGGATTTTTTTTAATTACGCGCGGACGGAGTCGCGTCCGCCAGCTAGTTACGTATCAATGTATAGATATAGAACTAAAGACTAACCTAGCATCGATTGAGATGTATGGAAAAATATGTTACTTTATAGACACTTACAGCCGAAGGAAATAGGATAATGTTTATTAACGTTACACAACATCCTTAACTGATAAAGTATGCAAATCCGATTAGCTGTAGTCGATCACCATGTTATATATGTTTTGCTATTTTTAGTTCAGTTTAAGGATACTGTCGCTGGCGTTGTATGTTGGCATTGGCATATAAATATAACAGGTTACATTTAAACCATCTTTAATTTCATTTTATTCGTACAATTGAAAATATAAATAGCATATGAACAAGCAAAACTATTACTTGGTATTACAAAAACTGGCAGCTCTCCTCTTAAGAGAATGCAACCATGAACACGTTCCATAAAAACATAAAATGAATTCGTTCCATTAAGGAACACGTCCTAAGCCCAGTTCCTAACAAGGAGCATTGCAAAATTCATTGTCAACTAAAATAAATCGTTGGTATTACTAGATAAGTTGGTCTATTAGATGGTTTTTCATTCAGGACCGGTTCCCGGAGTTGTGAGGGTTTAAAAGCGGGAGTCGGGAGTTGGTAAGGCATTCCCGTGTCGTCAGTCCCCCAGGTATCCTGCACCTAGTCATGTGGCGTTTGTTCTTTCTAATTGCTGCCGTCACGGCGCAGATTCCCTCATTGGGATTCTGCCCCGATTATCAGGTGAGCTAAAAGTTTTATTATAATTTAATTAAAGTTAGGTTTCATAAAGAAAGAGAAGAGAATCTTCTTACTCTATATACGTTATTCTGTGTTCGAACGAATAATATTTGTTCCTATATATAAACAAATTCTTTATAGTAATATGTTGTTTATTTTTCTATCATAATTAATTTACATAACAATTCATATGACCTCGACCTATGGATTTGGGTCGCATCAGGTGTGCTATAGTAATTAGTAGGCGACGCAGACAGCAACCGGTCGTCACGGTCATTGACACCACTGTTACCGGACACTTTCGATCTCGTCGAGACTGACACAATAACTGTCACACGGTCTTTAGTGGGATGTAGCGAATTTGATACTGGATCTTAATATTTTGTTGAGGGTTTTTAATTAATAAAATTTAAATTGCTACAGTAAAGTAAAGTTATACAGACTACTTAACCTCGATTATGATCTGTTCGACAGCCGATGGCAAGCTTCAACATGAACCGTTTCCTGGGCACCTGGTACGAGGCAGAGCGCTACTTCACGGTGAGCGAGCTGGGCAGCCGCTGCGTCACCACCAAATACGAAAGTACGCCTGAGGGCCGCATCCTAGTTTCCAACGAAATCACCAACGCCATGTGAGTACACGAACAGCACTTTAGTAACCCTGTTGTTATCTATATACCTGATTCTCATAGGTCCCAATTAGACATCAAGCGGTCCAAGAAAGTCCAAGGAGTTTATTAGCAATAAGAAAACAACAAACTACACAATTTATCTTTCTATTTGTACCATCATTAGATCTAATCTCTACATTAATTTGAAATGTTATTGAAGCTATGCTAGCTATATTAAAAATATAGTAGTAGATGGTTTTTTGTACAATTCTCAAAGGAGTTTACAATAAAAAAGTATTGGAATATCTGGTCTACTGAATTATAGAATAAGATAGCATCTATTTATTATTACTATTTTTCTACCACCGTTTATTATTCTGTACACAGGACGGGTATGAAGAGAGTGCTGGACGGTCATCTGCAGATGATAGGTCGCGAGGGTGAGGGCCGCATGATTGTGAAGTACGCCACGCTGCCTGTGCCCTACGATACAGAGTTTAGCGTGCTTGACACCGACTACGATACTTATGCTGTTATGTGGTCGTGCAGTGGTATCGGTCCTGTTCACATCCGTAAGTACTAGCAGATATTGTGCTCATATACTCAGTCTGTGCTATAGGGCAGGGCGCAATTGGGCGACCGGCTCAGGCGATGGGCAGAATTGCACAATGTCGCATAACTTTGTTAGGTTAATTAAAGTAAATCGAAAAAATCTCATTACTTAAAATACTGTATAAATAATATGGGCCCATCTACAATGATATTTAAAATTAATACGAGACAAAAATACAATAACCAGTTAGAGTACGTAAATTAATAGTAATTCTTTATTAATTTCTTACAGAAAACGCATGGGTGCTAACCCGTGACAGACTCGCGCCACAGATGACCATGCAAAAAGCGTACGCTGCACTGGAAAAATTCAAGGTATCGAGAACATTCTTCGTGAAGACAAACCAAGAGGACTGCTACATACTTCCCGACCCGGCTGCTTACTCTGAGTACAAGGAGGCAGGAATCGAAGTATCTGGGAAGCATGCAAGCCTGGTACCCGTACCCGCCGCTACTGATGCCGAACCTGTTGTCGAGGTATTAAATATTGTTTAAAAAGATTATTTAAAAACAGTTTTTTTAATTATCTTAAGTAGGATAATCCAAAAACTACAAGAAATAAATCTACAATAATAAAAAAAAACTATACGTAAACGTTAAAGAGCAATAGAAAAAAAGTAATTTTTCTCTACATCTTTACTGGGACGTGACCCAATTTAAAAAATTGCCAATTATTGTTTTTTTTATTTATTCATCCGAATTTCTTTAACAGAAGAAAGTAGATGCGGAAGTCAAGCCTGAAGTGCCAGAGGTTAAATCTGCTGTTCCGGAAGTTATCAACGAGCCCCAAGTTGTACCTGAAATAAAAGCAGCCGAAACTATGGCTAAGGAAGAGAAGACAGAAATGCCAGAACAAACTACTGAAGTCAAAAAAGAGATGCCTGAAATAAAGGAAGAAGCACCGAAAGAAAAGGATCTTCCAGTTAAACCGATACAGTAACTCTTGTCTCACTAATTAGCCAACAAGATATTTGTACGTAGCTAAAAAAGTAGTGCGAAGCTTTCCAAAAAGGCTTGTACCAAATAAAACCTTACCGCGGGTTAGATTTTCAATAGTTATAATAAACCAATGTGACTTTTTCTTGTCAGTTCAATTGTAATAAACGAATTTAATAAACATATTTTTTTTATTTTCACTAAGTCTTATTAGCCGACGGCAAGAGTAATATATGAGATAGTCAGGATATGTATTAACTTATTATAATTAATGTTTCTGATTAATTCTTACTTTATCTAAAAAGACTAACTGTCCACTCAGAGTTGTTTAGTGTAAATTTTGTACAAGACAATAAGGCTCTCCCTAAATGATCGACTAAAAACTCTGAGCACAGGGGAAGTAGTTGAAAAAGTTGATTAAAATAAAAGCTAATATAACATGTTATATTTTAATGCTAATTAAAAATTGTTTGAAAAAAGGCAAAAGGAAAGGGTCTGATTGTATTGGTCAGGCTGTTACTGTGCACCCACTCCCGGCCGCTATCCCACTACTGCCCGATACGGGGACTTTTGGCTGCTGGGTTTCCCCCCTGGCCCGGTTCGCCCCTCCTTAGTCAACCTGCAACCCCCAGACTCCTCCGGGGGTTCCATATCAATACCAGGCTTAGTGTGGACGTCCAGTCAACATGGGCCACACAGCACCAGGACTCCCGACCTCAAACCATCCTCCATACCCGACCTCCGAGCAGCCGGATTACAGGAGACGCCACGCTCCCAGTCGACAGACTTAACGAATTATCAGAATAGGTAGAACTTAAAGTTGTGCATTCAAAACCCAGATAGTATTTTTTTTTTTTGAATGAAAATTATTTAAGACTGTTTTTCATCCCTGAAATTGATAGAGATTTTAAAGTAAATATTATTTTCACATAGTATTTTTAAAATATGGAACAAATAATTTTCAAATAACTTAAAGAAAGCGCCCTCTAGAAAATTGAAGTTATAATATTGCAGAAACTAGAAACTTAATATGTAACCTACAGCGCCCTGAAGATGGCGTTATTTAGCAGAAACACTTTTTAAGCTAGATTGATAAGTAGTATAATCTTATATATAAAATTTTCGTGTCACAATTTTCGTTCCCATACTCCTTCGAAACGGCTTGACCGATTCTCATGAAATTTTGTGAGCGTATTGAGTAGGTCTGAGAATCGGCCGACATCTATTTTAAATCCCGCGCGGCGGAGTCGCGGACGACAGCTTGTGATGTATAAAATTACTTAAACAATTGCTGTATCATATATTTTCATAGATTTCGCGGCCATCTGAGGCGATTTATTAGCTTACGGACATTTTGAGAGTCTGTCTCTACAAACACATTTGCCTTTTAATAGACCAAATTATATATCAATGTATGCTAAGATTTTTATAAGAAAATAGTACTGTTATAGAAAAAGATTAGGGTAAAGATAATTAGAACATTAAAAAGCAGATTCATCGTATATAATAAGATGACATTGCTTTGAAGTTATTTGCTAAGTTACGTTGAATTGTTACCAAAAGACATCAACGACTTAAAATATGTTTAATTTAAAAAAAAACTATAGGTAGGCAATCAAGAAGCAGCTGTTTTTATGCCAGATTGGCAAAAAGATGACGTTTTTGCATGTAAGTATGTTTGTATTTAGGTTTATATGTTTAAGTACAGTTGTTCATTCAACTGTGACCTTTTTTAACTTAACCGGCTGAACCGACTTTGACGAGTTACACTCGAATTATATGCTTCCCCAGAGAATCGTATAAATAGTATAGTCAGGAGTGATGAATTTTTTTAATGCATAGTACAAAATAAAACTACCTAGTCATTTTGTTATCATAACGTTAAAAAATATGTTCTCAAATTGCGTACCGCCATACTATATGCAATCATATCGAGGTTTACTTATAAAATAGCGAGTCATGGAATGCTTCCGTGCGTCTCATGAATGCCCGCCCAGTCGAGTGCCAACTGCAAAGTATCGCAGACGCATCTATTGGATTATAATCGGCGTCAACATTGTTTTTATTTTTTTGTTGACAGCGGTGTTAAGTTGCCTGTAAGTTCAAATAAAGGTAAGTCTTTTAAATTTTTTAATCGATGAGATAAAAAAAATTATTTATGTTTATTTTGGAAATTAAATATCATTGTCAAAAAAAATTGGTAAATATTTTTAATTAAATTCAGTTAAAAAAAAATAATTTTTACTCTTTTCAACTCAAATATTGGTGAGAATTTAAAGTTACATAAAATGTTTGTTTAGAAACAATCTTATATTACAAAATATTATGATGAAAATATAATCTTAATATATTTACAATCAAAAACTGACGTTCAATGTCCTCAAACCAATGCCAAGACCTTGATAGTTGATACTTTATTACCAGTTTAGTGAGATACAGTGGAGTTGACATCGTAGATTTTATCCACAAAATATTGGAGAAAAAATCGAATTCAATTAACTTAAAGTATTTGTTCAAAATAATCTTAATGTTTTCCTTCCTAACAAAGTTAAGATAACAAAAAATAAGGTTAAAAACTTTGCTCCGAATAATTAACTTTACGACACAAGTAACTTACTACTTAGTAATGTTTAAAGTTAATGTTTATTTAACGATGTATTTTATTCTTTAGTTATTGGGTTAAATTCAGATCACGTGAAGCAACTTGCTTGGAGGCCGTACAAGTACATACCACCGAGCCGCATATTCTGATAATAAGCAATACGAAAATATTATACCGTTTTACCCTAGCCTCGACAGACGGCAGATGCGACATAGAGTTTGAAACTTTAATAGGCATTTAATAGAATATTAGCCACCCAGAGACTAAATTCCAGTCCTTTCCTTCTACCATTTTGATAAGAAAAGGAAAAAAAGCTGGCAACGCAGCTGCGGTTCTTCTGATGTTGTGGATATCCATGAGCATCCGTGACCTCTTCTTGTCAAGTGTACTGGTCGTTTTCCTCCGTTCTTACGATAAAGGGGGATTGAACTCGCAAGGGAAACAGACACACGGGAAGGATAGATGCCCCTTTTTGTAACTCCACTCATTTTTTATTCATTTATAGTAGCCATCACATCGAAAACTTATTCAAGATATCAATGGGTGGGGGTGGGGTTCCCTTCTTTAGTCTTTTAGTTAATACTAACAAAAACAAGAAGTATAAACCATGATGACACAAGATTGTTAATCGAACTGACAATAGCTCACAGGATATAGTAATATTATACAAATTAGGTAACATTGAATGATTACATTCAAAGTAATAAAGTTGGATGTGTTGTCAAAGAAAATAATGTAAATAAATTTAAGTCAAATGCATCGCTAAACATTCACATCGTTTAATTGTTTTCAAAAGAATATTGTTAGTCGATTTCTAAGAACAAGGTCGCGCTGCTCGGACTATTATGCTCCATTCATCGTAATTTTACATACATTTGCCACAACAACAGTTATGTTATAGTCGCTCACGCAATAATACAGTCCATAATACTGGAGTGTCTGTATGTAATTTTATAAAATCATATTCCGCTCATATTTGCGTTGCTAACAATGAAAATATACCCGGAAATTTATGTCTGTGTCCGTCCTTAAGTCCGCGTTTATTCCGAACAGTCCGAAACGGTTGGACCGATTTTAACGGGACTTTTACTTATAAGAAGTTGTGGGTAACTGTTTGTATTAAAATATATGTGATATTTGTCAAAGATGTAATTACCAGCCAGCATGGATTTAATGGATAAAGATATAATTTAATTACAAGCTGTTGCCTGCGACTTTGTCCGCATGAAATTAGATATAAACTATGTATTTTATTTTGCAAGAATTAATTAATAAGTTACTTTTGCATTTTTGACAAAAGTTATTATACCAAGAATAACTTATAAGCTGCTGAATTATTTAATTTGGTATAGGTAGAGTGGACGCAAGTTTACCAGGTCGTTGCTCTTATACATTGTAATTGTTTTTTTTTAAACAGAGGAATTTATATTTACAAATTGACACTCTAATTATATTCAACGATTTTTATTGTTTGGTAGACATAACCAGGTGTTTGACATACATTTAACAAGTTCATTTTAAATTATTTATCAATTGTTTTGTACATAACATAATAATTAATTTCACCCAGGAAAACCAATATGAATGTTTTAAATAAAATAATATATAATACAAAGCTCATCTTACTTCAAGTAAGATAATGATAAAGCTTATGTTATAAATGCGAATATTTGGATGGATGGATGGATGATTGTTTGAAAGAATAATATCTCCAGAACGGCTCAACGAATCTCAATGAAATTTGGCATAAATGTAGAACATAGTCCGGAAGAACAAATAGGCTACTTATTATTGTGTTAATTCCGCGCGGACAGAGTCGCAGGCGACAACTAGTAAGTCATAAAGGTAACCTACGTACAAAATATAAAATGCTAATCTTCTGAATTGGTACTTTACTGCATAATGCTATAATTTTTTACACCCCTCTTCTTTACTTTATTCATAACTGTGAGGTGAAAAACTCACAAATATTTACTTAAGTATAGTGAAGACAACTTAAAATCTGTTTGTAGAGAATCAAACTTACGTTTACAAGAACACGTTAATTATTATACGAACGTGTGAATTGAATTCTCACAGATATTTAAATTTACTCTTGTACGCTATGACGTCATTTCAGGAAATCTTTTAGTTGAATCAAATTGAGTCGTCAGTTTTTTCTTCCATAAAAATCCCACTTAGTAATAACACTAAATAGCATAGTATAAATATTTTTTACAATAATTATGTACTAAATTAACACACAAATAAGTTAAACGCGTTTTATATATTAAACGACTCCTCTGCCCTCGATATGTAGTTAAATCTTTTATTCATTTTTTTATTTGGCAGCAATAACTGCATACGTTTATGTACTTTTAATGCCTCGTTCCAAATGCATTTAATTAGTTAACGTACTTTAACAGTTTAATAAACTTTAATACAGGTATTCTATGAGCCAAGGACATCAAATGAAGTTTGACAAAAAAACAATTGGGTTATTTCGCGTCTTTAACTCATTTAAAGACTGGTTTTAAAGCGTTTTAAATGCCATATTATCGATTTATCGTATACGTTAAACTAAAGATTAATATTAGTTATCTGAGCAAACACATTTTGCGGAACTGTTCAAAATCTATTTACACTTATCCATTCAAAATTAACAGCACTAAAGTTATTGACATAGTTATGTTAATAGGAAAGTAAATAAAAGCTTATTTTCCTAGAATTATATGGTCTTCGTTTTTTATTTTAATATTTAAGCGATGGGTTATGATATCCAGTGACAAATAAAAACTAAAAACTTGTCTATGAACGTGATGTTCACACAAATGGAATAGATTAAACAATGTTAATTCTAAGATATAATTTAAGCTACTATTAAGTAACTTGTTAAAAAACAGTTGCAAGGTCAAAACAACTTTTAAGTTATTAGAGTGTTAGTATGATTTAATATTAAACCACGTAGCTAAATAACCTGTAAAAACTAACCTTGCAAAGTGTATTACAAACATCATACCTACAACTCAGTAATTTTTAGGGTTCCGTACCTCAAAGAAAAAAACGGAACCCTTATAGGATGACCTTGTCGTCCGTCCGTCTGTCTGTCAAGACCCTTTTTTATATCAATGTTATTTCCTAAGATATTTCTAATATTATAGTTTACTAGCAATTTTTTTTATTATGCGATCCTTTAAGATCAGAATTTAATGTTTACTTTTTCTCTTTCTTTCTAATACTTCTCTTTCTTTCTCAATAGCCAGCAATGCATCTGCGGTTTCTTTAGTATTGTGGATGTCCATGGGCGTTGTTGATCACCTCGGTGTTCCCACAACATCTTTGCCCCATTTCTTAAATTCTCCATTCTTAAAAGAAGTACTTTATAAAATGCGGTCTATCGTTATTTGTAACTTGTAATTTTTACATCGACAAAAAATATTTTTATATATTTCGTGTTACCTTGAATGTTTTGATTTAATGTTAAAAACATGTACATATTTAAATAAATTAAATACCAACAAAGTTGAAGGTTTTCTTTAATTTAATGATTTAGGTTGCACCTGAAATAAAGGCGTAATATTTTTTTTTGCAACAATTTACAATAATTTTAACATAAATATCCAATATTTTATGTGGATTTGTTAGTGAATTTAAAGTTCGGTCTTACTGCTTCCCAAAAATGGTAAAAATTTTACACTTAACAACTAATAAAACTGGTCTGTATACTATTTTTTATAATTAATGTTTGTTTGTCTGACTGTGTTCCGGCCTGTTTGTCTTGCCTTTGTTCCGGGTAATCTCCAACACAACTGCAACAATTTTTACGGGACTTAAACTGGAAGGAAGTCTATGTGTGCTGACGAAGCTGCGGGCAAATGTTAACTACCAATGAATTACTATAATATGTAGAATCTTCATTTTACTCCCCTTGTTTGTACTCGAGGTTCATGCAGAGCGAGAGCTTAATTTAATTAGTATTAATCATGCTAAATAAATTAAATAAATCTGGGCTCATGTTAGATAGGAATGTAGGTATTAATTTTTGTCTCTAGTCTATAATATTTAGATTGTTTTCCTGTTTCATTTTATGGGCTTTAAGGGTTTCAATTATACGTTCATGTTAGAGATGCAATTTAACCGATTCCATTACCAGTATGGTAACCAACTGGTGATAAAATTTATTGCTGGTACTATATAGTTATAGATATCTGCGAATGGCCGTGCATTAACATTGCTATCTAACAAAACAAGCACTTGAAACCGGGGGAGTAAAAATTGATAACCATCAATATTACTTATATTGATCGTTCCGTCGATATTCGAACTAAATAAAATATAACTCTAAAAATGGACAAAAATATTTGCGACTTACCAAAAAAATTCAGCACTAACAATTCTTAGTCTTTAAACTTTACTATTTCCAGATGTCTGTACTAAGGGCAATCGCCGTGTTCCTCTGCGGGTTCCTGTCTCTCAGGATATGCAGGGCACAGATTGTCTTCCCTGGTACCTGTCCAGATGTTGAAGCGATGAAAAACTTTGACGCTGAGCGAGTGAGTCAATCCATAAAATATTCTATTTTAAATACTATTATAACAATTTTATTTTGATTCTCTCCTCAAAATTGTGATGTTCTAGCTTAATTAAATGTGTATAAGTTTTCCATTAATATATTTTTAGAAGTTTAAACCTTTTATAACATTTTACTAATTTTTGACTTAGCTTATATTTGAATATTGTGGTTAACGACCAAATTTTTTTATTATTTCAGTACTTAGGTAGGTGGTACGAGGTAGAAAAATATTTCGCATTCTTCGAGCTCGGCGGGCGATGCATCACAGCTGACTACGGACAGAAAGATGACTTGATTACTGTTACGAATAAGCAAATCAATAACATGTAAGTATTTATTACATACGTAAATGTTTTTTACACATTAAAAACAAATATTAAGAATGGCTTCTACGAATAAGAAACCAGAAATATCACAGGTATCAAATTAAAACTGTATGCTGTAAATTAATACAATATCATCCTGTTTATAAAAATATAATATCTTTACAGAACTGGGTCTACCAATGAAATAAAGGGATATGCGACTAAAGAAAGCGGGGAAGCAGATGAAGCGAAGCTCTCCGTATACTTCCCAAAGATGCCGATCAACATCGCCGCCCCCTACTGGATTGTTGGCACCGACTACGATAGCTATTCCGTCATATGGAGCTGCTACGAATTTGGAACGCTATTTAACACACGTTAGTATTTATATCCTTGTTGATATAGCGCCTATAGTTTTTTTAATAGCTTCTATATTCTAAGCGTAGTTTCTCTATATTAATGAGTAGGAGCAGTGGGTAAAAAGGTAAATGTATCTGTCACAATTCCGCAGCAGTGTTAAACACAGACGAGTCGTTCTAAACGCCACCATCAAGATATGCAAAAATATTACTAAGCTATTGCATTTAAAAACCACGACAAATGCCAATTATAGCACCTACAAATAGCCATATCTAATGTTATCAGGAAAACCTTGGTTTTTGCTTCCATAATCCAATCTTTGTATAATTTTTCGTATGCACAACTAATATTGTTAATGTTAACATTTCAGGAAACGCCTGGATATTGACGAGGCAACGAAATCCTCCAAAATCGGTACTAAAGGCGGCGTATAAAGTTACTAAAGAGAACAACATCGATCAGTCTTACTTCACTAAAACCGATCAGACAAATTGCACGGTTATTGAAGACGAAGATTAAGCTGTATGAAGTAAATTATTTATGCTATTATAATATTAGAAAGGATTCTATGTCATTAGTACCTGACCGAAGTTTCTTGGCTTCAAAAGGTACTAGCATTTATTTTTGCTACGACGAAAGTTTTTGTGGATTTCCACTCTCGAAACACGTGTATAAAACAGTGTAATTCCTCTCATTTTGTTTAATAAAACAGAGAGAACGATATAGTTTAATAAAATAAAATTTCACAATAAAAGGACCACTACTTTATAAATGGTTGGCTTATGTTGTTTTAAACAAAAACGTAAATAATTTTAAAAGCGTTATTTAGTATTGTGGAATTAAAATTTAATTATAGGCATATGTTTCAAAATATTCCGGCTTTTCGAATATGTACTTTAAGATTTCATATCTATTTATTTTTTAACCGATAAGAAGTCGGTTTTGCCTATAAATTTTGTCATTTACAAAGTAACACCCTATACATATCACCCCCTATAAATAAATAATACAAAATAAGCCACAATTTCTTTTTATTGTTAATTTCTACGTCTTCTATTTTAATTCGTCGCGCATTAAACAGGACAATTACAATTTCATCTAAATATATATTTTTGGATATACTATATTTGCACTGTGCTTTGTTACTGTTATTTTTACGTTATTTCTTTTTTATAACAATATATTGGTATAAAATTCATTTCTTCGCAAAAGAAATTTTTAATATGAGAAATTTCATAACTTTTAGCTCATGTAACAAAGGTTAATATAGCTAAGCGGGGCTACTGTCGTCAGAGTGCCAACTCTTTCTGCGTTCTTTGGTTGCTTCGTCGTAAGTCGGCGGTGGTGGGGGATGGCTCTTGGTCTTCGCTGGTGGCTTCATCGCGTGCTCCTCCTCTGCTTCCTCGGGTATGGAGTCTCGACGTCGCGGGTCGTATTCGGCGAGCATCGGTTGTGATATGTCATTGCGTTGTGTTAGCTTCGGAGCGCTGTTGGCCAACTGAAATGTTAGTCATTATTGAACTGGTTCTTTAGTCATATGAAATGGAAAAAGTTTGTAAGGTGTAGAAAAGGAATTTAGATCCATCCTGTGGATAATAATGAAAAAACTGATTAATTAGTTAACAAATATCACGATCATGAATTAGTACATAGTAAAAATGTTAAGAGGTACACTCGGTGACAATGTAATAAACATATGTATAATAGACTCATAAGTACATATAAACAATACAATTGTGTGCATATATGTACGTAACAAGAGATTTATTGGAATCGTACACAATTAACCTACAGATTGTAAACATTAAGGATTTTACATCTTACTTTAAAGTCCGTGACGTCATTATAGTATCTACAATTATTGATATACACATTTAGATAAGAACCAATTTTTAATAAACGTTATAAATTTCAATTAATACGTCGCAGATAGAGTCGGCAAATAGAAATTAAGACTGGAGCCGTAAGCAAGGTTCCGTTGTATTTGCCGTGGCTTTTGTTCAGTAAATACGACATTTGTTTCCTTACATTTGCTAGATACATCTGTTTGAAGTGGTATTTTTTAAAGTGTAACTAAGTATCATATGCCACGTTATTTTGAAATGACAATACTAACCGTACCTATTACTACAATAAAAACTTTAAAAACAACGGATTAGAATTACTAGGCAGTTTTTTATCAATGGATTCACATCATCATGAAACATTTTTCGTAAATTACAATTTTGATTACTGTCCTTTTGAGTTCGTGTATATTATAAACGAGATAGCCCTTTTTCTTAATTTTTGATCGAATTTAATTTGTAAAAGTAATAATAAATATTTTCAAAACTCATTTGCATCAACATTTTAACAATCTTATCACTTGGCGTTACTGTGGATTATATGACGACAAATGTTAACTTCTTTATTTATACAAATATAAACGCATTTGTGATAAACTAAATGATTTCCTCTAGCTGGCTGTTTCCAGTTAATGACATCAGTTGAGGTATGGGTGACCTAAATATATATGACTTAAGCCCGTTTTACTCCTGAGACCTGTACAGTGTGACAGTTTAGTTTTGGCTTGTAGGCACAATGCAACAATTAACTGTTTGTACAATTTACCTGAACAGTTCGACTGTACAGTTGAACTTTAAACCGTTGTACTGTGAAACTTTGGTGTTCTCTAATGAAAATGCGACCTAAATTGACAATGTAAACAATTTTTATTATCTTTAACTAACCTTGTATGGATTATGAGTGACTCTGATCTGATTCGACAACACCGGATTGGAAATGTGACTCTTTCCGTGTTGGTGCGTGATCTCGAGCGCTGAGCGCAGCAGGTCGACTTTCGAGGCGGAGCCCTGCGGGGTCTTCGGCAGGATTTCGATGTTGCTGCAGCGACGCTGACTGCTGCTGCCACTGCGACTTCGGTATAGCTCGTTAATGTCGCCTTGAGACAGCTGGAGAGGTAAATATAAAGTCAAATTAACTATATACATATACAAGTTATTAGTAATACTATTTCATCATTCATAAATAACTTACTCTAGCGCGTGAACTTCTCGGTAATGAGCGAAGAGATCCCAAGGGATTGAAGCGAGTAATCATATGCAACCTCTCAAGGGACACCATTGTTTCAGCATCTTTCCTCAACGGCTCACCGTTCAGTTTGTCTCCTTCACCGCTATCTATATTAAAATTTAATGAAAATACTAAATACTTTAAGTACATCGCTTGTATTTTATTAATTTAAAGTTAAACTGATCTGCAACAATTAACAGAAATGCTACGTACTAAAGCAGTCTAAAATTTAGGATATTAATAACCTTACCTGTATCTTGATCACAAACTTCTCTCATACCGGATACATTGATTTTCCTCAGCCAGAAGTAATGCAAAGCGCCATACAAGACGCCACCTAAGAATGCTATCAAGCCCATGTAACGGAACGCCTCCCTTGTCCCGAGCGACGCTATTAGGAGACCACCACCGAAACTTCCACTTCCTCTGCCTATCAACAAAATAATAAAGTATTGAGCAAGATGTAATTTACACGAAACATTAAATCTTACTAATATTATAAATGCGAATGTTTAGATGAATAGATGGATGTTTGTTAGAAGTTATCTCCAGAACGGCTTCATGAATCTCGATGAAATTCGGCATAGAAGTCTAACATCCAGTTCATAATAAAGTGAATATCGCACAAAGAACGCTCAAGTAGCTTAGTTTTTTATCATAATATGATTTGTAAAAATAATTTGGACTTTAAATTACAATATTACAATGTGCTGCTTCTAACCTAAACTGAAATGAGCCATTCCCAACACGCCAATGAGCGTAGCCAGTAGGTTTTTAGGTGCTAGCATAGCGCAGTATGTCGCTGCCGCAACCCACATCAAGTGTACTGATAACGACTCCATTGCCTCAAACGGGAAACACCACCAGGAATTCCTGTTAAACAATATTACTTCCAATTAATAACATCAACACTCATCGCTAATTTTTTTGTTGTTAAGTGACTAACCGTTGGTTTTTGACACCAAATTCTCTTTATAAAACATATTATCCTCATCATTGTCATGAGACTTTGGACTCAGAAACTCACGGTAAGCACTGTAACTCATAATTAAAAATCCAATGTAAATAGAAAAATAAATTTTCGTCTTATTTTTTTTCTTTTTATTTTGAGCTTTTACTTTCTCAGAAAAATTAAATCAAGTGTCACATGTTTGATTACTATTTCTTTGCAATATCTTCATCATTAAATACTACACAAATGGTAATGTAACCTGCCGTTAATGTTTAAATGTGAAGTCCGCCCACCGCGTATCATTATGCTCATAAACTTGACAATGTCTTATCGTCACGAGACATTACCTCGCCAATACAAATCATACGTTAAAGGACAAAATCATTTCAATGCATGTAACCTGTCTCTACATTTATTACACGGATCATGTTTTAAATTGTACTTTCCGCTTACTAAAAGAAGAATACAAGAAACGGTATAAGAAAGAACGCTCTTATGTCATTAACCGTGAATTTCTGAACCCAAAACCTTCCTTCAAAACATATTGCTAGGTCTGTTTTGTCACAGATAATGATATATACGTTTTCAACAAGGATTTTATTCCCAGAAACTCACGGATAGAGCAAATTATATTCACAGTTACAACAGTTTAACTATATGTACTATTTAAAAAATATTTTTGCTTGCTTGTGAGCCCAAATTTGGAACAAACGTGACTGTGAAATATTTAACTATCAACTGCATAAGTAATTAGATGCATTCGTAAAATAGCAAGAATACGAACAGTAAACATAAACACAACAAGATCATGTTCCAATCGCAGTAACTGTAAAGAACATTGTGTTTCATATCTGATAAGGAGACGATTGTTATGTCATTAAATATTATATGGTCGTGTAGGCAGCAGTATTTAGACGCATGCTTATAAATTTATAACACAAATTTCTCTATCAACAGACAAAACAAAACAATTACGTACTTCTATTTAGGCAAATACTGGTAAGCAGTTTTCAAATACAAGACCCTAAATGGTCATGTATAGCACTCTATAGATGATAAATCGAATGATACCTTAACCTTTAAAATAGGATAAGGCGAAGAGACTAAAGACAGTAACAAAAATATTAACACTTGCAAATAACAGTACCTAAACCTAAATTATAAAGTATAGTTAAATACTTACTCGATAAATGAGTAGCCAACGAGCCTGGCAGCGTGGGAAAAGAACGCGACGATGATGACGTTGACGTGTCCGATGCGGGCGGTGATGGCGTCCGCGCCGTACAGGAACGGGATACTGCTCAGAGTGCCCACGGTCACGGTTATTCCTGGACATTAGACACTCTTCACATAATGCACGGTCAAAGTAATAAACGTATCATTTTACTTATTAACGCCTGTTCTTTTACATTTATGAGTTTTAACTATTACATATTATTTCATACTGCTTTCAAGCTACTAAGAAAAAATCTTAGTAAAATCTTAATATATTAAGAGAGGCCACTTAACAACTATAGGTATACCAGTGATCCTAGAATCTGTACTTTTAAATGCTTACCAAGTAAGAAATTCGGTGCGCCCAATTCTTTCAGATATAAAAATAAGTAAGATTCAATGAACCCCCAAAAATTTCCTAAAGCGAACAGGAAAAATATGAACAAAATTATATGAGGCATTTTGATAATATTAACTAAATCGTGTAATATATTATCAGCAGGTAGCTTTGCACCGAGAGGCATAACAGCGACGGTTACTGCCGATATCAGAAGCAAAACATCGTAAGTGTAAAAAGCAGCTGAGTAGTCTGTGTAACCTGCAACAGACCGATGTAAACATTCAGTGTGTTTTATTGACATTAAAGATAACGATTATAAGATTCGACTACACACCGACTTGTTTGCTCCTCATATCTATAAGCATGCCCGTGATAGGAGAAAATATTGCCATTCCGATGCTAGAAAATAAACGTTCTCTGCCAAAGTCGCCACCGTATTTCTGAATCATAGTCAATGCAATCGGATCCATTATTGTGACGCCGGCGGAGAGCATAATCGTACCCATGAACCTCAGAAGAAAATAAATATAAAACGTTTTGTCGTCGCTCTCTTTATAATCTGGTGGACAAATTTCTGGACCACCTTTCCTGTAAACAAAATCATTTTTTAAGCATTTATGATAATGTTATAAACATAATATTATGGTATCCAGTTTAAATACCTGAAATTGCATTTTTGCACCATACAATCAGCTGAAAGTGTTTCAAGTCGTTGTTGCGATAGTTTAGTCATATTGTGCAACATAACCAGACCCCCGCATCTAAGATCCTCCTTATCGAGCGCAGTTATATTTACCCCTTGCGCTATTAATAGCTTCTCGCCGAATCTAGATCGGAAATCCGTTACTGTGTCATTATCATCCTGAAACGAATGCAATGTAGTATAGGATTATAAGCTTACATCTTCTTTTACAATATTTTTGGAATACGAACCCGCTCCATTTCGATTCCGAGTTGCTCTTTAGGTTCCCCCAAGTCATCGTGAACTTCAATCAAAAAGAAAGCAGCGTCATTGTAATCTTCATCATCGTCTGTTATGTTCAAGAAACTAAAAGCAAATTTTTATCGTTGAAAAGTAAGAACTACGTCAAAAAGTAATTTTAAAAATGTATGATGTTTCACCTGGTATTAGACAAATTCGGTGGTTTGATTTTATGACTTATATGGAAATCTAAGTCATCTTGGTCATCTGAGGGATCATTATTGGGGCTTTCGGTGGGTCTCGATAGCATGCAGTGGTCCACACACCTATCCAGCACGAAATCCACCTGTTCGTCTTCATCCGGACACTCCCTGCTTGGGCACGGACTCCACCAAATCTTCAGAAGAGTTAAAAAAATAAACTTACTCTTATAGTTATTGTTAGTACCATCGACTTGTAGTTTCTAAATAAGGATGTAAATTATTAACAATATTAATGCATCTGGGATTGCGGTACGCTGCCGCTTCATTTAATCTGCATAAATTTCTTGATTCTCTTAAGTAATTCAGAGAGTAGAGTTATGACACTAGTTAATCTGCCTTGACGCCGGATGAAAACGATTTGCTCAAATTCTTAGAGGACGACTTAATTCAGAACTACATAGCGAGGGCCAATTCTTTAATGGAGATTTTGAAACAACTGTGCCTATGTTTTCTGTACCTCAACGCTCCGTTTGATGGGATGTCGCATGACGTACGCTGACGGCATAATCCCCGGCGTCTCCTGATGCGGTATCAACAATAATGAATGATGGAAAGCCGCGTTTAGTATCAATGCTGTGATCACCACCGGTTTGTATTCTCCGAAACGATCCACTAGAAATCCTAAAAATAATTCGATTAGTTGACAAACACTTTGGTAGCGTATTCTTCTATGTCGGATATCTTACCTGTTATGGGCGGACTAAGAAACGTTGTAAATGGTAACGCTAAATACACAAATGATATTTCTGGCACAGTTAGTCCTATGCTTTGCATGTGTATAGTCAAATAGGGGAGGAGTGATGCGGTCGCTCCGTACATCACAAATAAAGTCACTTTTAACATAATTAAGTTGGGATTTATCCGCAACCCCTGAATGAACCGTCGGATGCGTCCTATCGACTCGTCGTTCTCTTCGTCCATGTTTTGATCGTCCTCGCTGTATTTTTTGGAATCGTCGTCGGATTTCGCCATGTCCGCGAGACTCACATGTTAATTGACGACGAGTTGGTCCGCGGAGGTTATCTAATCGACTGGCGCTGGCGCACGGATCGTCAACGCAGCGCTGAAGGTGTGACGATTATTTACACGAAGATTAGGAACGGTGGCGTCGGGAGAGCCGAGGAGGGTCCCGAGCTCCGAGCTCCCGACCGACTGCGCTCGACCAGCTCGTGGCGGACGCGACGGGCCAATTTACAAATAATAGCAAATTACCATCGTTTAAGAAGTGTCACGGCGATTGGTGGGGATGTTGGCTAAATCGGCTGGCGATTTGAAGACCTTGTGGATAATAGCTGGGGACGGGGCGCTCTCCGTTATGGGCTTTTAGTACTATCTTTGGAGCCGCCGATTGCGAATTAGAGCGGCATTTGCTAGCAGCTTGTCTTGTGAGTAGTTTTGATTTTTGTAATTGTAATCTATACATCTATACATATTAATAAAATTGAAGTGTCTGTATTTAATATTTAAAATAACAAATTATTTTGTACACATGATGTATTTACGTCGCTGGTAACGAAAAACAACAACAATTTGTTTTCTGTCAGTCCGCATGGCCGAGTTTGTTCAGGATAATCTCCGGAACGACTAGACTGATCTTGACGGGACTTGGACGGAGTCGAGGGCGACCGCTAGTAAGTAATAAATCTCAAATACCGACTATAGTGCCAAATTGCAAAAAGACCTAAAAAAACGCCTCACATTTTTGTATGCAATAGGCAATTTTATGTAAAATATTTTTATTAACTACTCCAATTTTATTAATATGTCTCGATATCTTAATAAACAATTTAAAAAAAATCTTTTCTGTCTGTCTGCAAGGCCGCGTTTGTTTGGTGTAGTCTCTGAAATGGCTTTACTGATCTTGAACGGAAGGTGGCTGATGCTCGCAGCTATGTTTTTTCTAATTCTGTGGTGACAAAGTCGCGGAAGACCGGTCGTTGAAAATAAAATAATGGATATATATTCAAGCACCAAACAACATAAAGTTCCGATAGAAATGATTGTCCAGGGAATCAACTATTTAACTTCGTATTCCCACATTCTATGCCTTATCTTATTTTTTTTGTCTTGTTATATTGAACTATACAATGTATCATTTAATTTTACATAATGCCTGTATAACAGATATACTTTTTACCGTAAGTAAATTTATAAAACAATACATTTAAGTTTTCAGCTTTGGCCTTATGAACTAATAATAAACGAAATACATATTAAAACAAACCGCCATCTATCAGCAAAAAGAAACAAAGAGTCGAAGTTTTTGTGTCCTTTATTTCAGGCGCCATCTAGTGCTAAATTTTACGTAAAAATTTTAAAAGTAATTTTATAGCCATAGACAAAATTTATATATCATACGGCAATATTTTATTGTTAAATTTAATATGAATAAGGTAATTTTTCGCATTGTTTCTCATTAAAGTTACAAGAAATCAGGATTGCACCGCGAGAGATCTGTCGTATCAATTTAAAGAGTAAATAAAATATCAATCAATCAAAAATCTATTTAAAAGATAGAATAGAACCGAAGTAGGCTCATGGAAATGTATTTTAATGATTAAGTATCTATACATAATTTTTAATAGATTTACCTATTTCCCTTTCGATAAAATAAAATTGTTTTAAAAATTATAACTCCTTGGACAAACCTCTTTATATCCTATAGGAATTTTAACAGAGAAGGTAAAAGTGAAATACGACCATGATACGAAAACAAAACAATTAATACTATTATCAGACTTAAATAATAAATTTGTATTTATTGAAATTTCATTTTTCTGTGCTACTGACATCTAGTGACCATAGAGTTAGACTAATCAAAATGTAGGTCTGCGATGTCTATAATCTACGGCAATATGTCAACCATAATGCATTGCGCATAAATGGCCGCCATGTTGCTGCCGTCTGAAAGATGTTCACATCTGTGTGTGTTTACTAATGGTTTTTAAGAACATTGATAGTTAAATTACTGTGTTTGTGAAATTGTGAGTGTATAAGGGTTTCATACTAAATATGCTTTTGTGATCGGAAAGTCTATCAAATGTCTCAGAGGCCAATAAACAGTGAAATTTTCTTTAGGTAGTCATTCGAGTCGGACGGCATAATGGCTGACAATCTGATTCAAAAGTCACATAAAACTAGTGAAAAAAACAAGTATAACAACGTTGTCCATCGTACGACAAGCGAATCTCTTCGTCTGAACGAGTCAGAGAAAGGAGTGAGTCACCCGACAAGTCTTCAATCCGGCCATAACCCGAGGAAAATATCTTCCTTTCAGATCACCAGTGTGACCGTTGGCTCTCGAGTGAGCACTGATGCGGGAGAAGACTCCGCAGACGATCTAGATGAATCTCACACCGATGACATCTCAAGGGTAACCGACATCGAGAATGAAACGCCAAGTTATTCTGAAGATACGTTCTCGAAAGACGATGTGTTTTACAACGCGTCCAGTGCTTCCCTAGGTTGTGCGCCTGTCATACCGACTAGCTCGCAGTACGGTCTCGCAATTGTGAACCAGGACAACAACACTAATCAAATCGGAGGTGCAGTGCCAAATAGTAATAACACGGAAGTGAATGACATGCACGTCAGTGTTACTAACGCCGGAGCAGGGAGCATTATAAACCTTATTGGTAATGCAAAACCACAAGAAGGGATGAAAGAAATACAAGAACATGTTAGAAATGAACGGTTCAAAGTTGTGAAAATAGAAAGCACAGAGCCATTTAGAAGAGGAAGATGGATGTGTATGGATTATTTGGATCATACAAGTACACAACAAAATGCACCAATTACATTAAACAACAACTTAGACATAAACGACACTAACTCATTGCAGGCTCCGGACAGTGGAGTTGTTATTAATGATAGTCAGCATGATGAAATGTGCAATGATCTGACAAGCAAAGGGCCTAAAGATCTCCAAGTAAGTGGACCAGCAATACAGCAGATTGATCAAAGTGTGCAGAAACAGTTTCCTATTGCTTCTCCTGGCCAATCCCTTACTCAGCCTATCAACATGCAACAGCAAATGCCTGTCAACCAATCTGTTTCTGTCCAGTCCCCGCCTTTGGAAATGCCGCAACAAATGCCTACACAGAACATGACTAACCAACAAGTTGCGCAACAGCACCCTCAAAGTATGGCTCATATACAAATGCAAGGTGCCCAGCAAAGTCATCAATCTGCATCGCAGCAACAAGTGCAGCAAATACCTCAAAGCTTTCCTCAACATCAATTGCAACAAGTTATTGCTCAATCACAGGGTATAGCTATTCAACAAATACCTATGCACCAGCAAATGCCACAACAGATGCAGCAGATACCGAACCAACAAATGCAACAAATCAATCAACATATTCCCCAAGCCCAGATAACTAATATGCAGCAAATTCAGCAACAAATACCCCAGATGCAAGGCATACCTAATCAGGGCCAGATGACCCAAGTCGCCGGCCAGCAGCCCCAGATGCAACAAATACAAATGCAGCCAATGCAGGGGCAACCAAACCCCCAACAATTACATCAGATGCAGCAAGCTCAGATGCCTAATATTGGAGCGGGTCACCATCTGCAAGGGCAGCAGTCAATTGGTCCTCAGCAAACCCAATTGCAACACTTGCCTAGTCAGGCCCAAATTCAAGCTCTTCAAAATCAACAAATACCTAACCATATCCAACAAATGCAATTGCCAACACAGTTAAGTGCTCCAAATCAACAAATTCAACAGATGCAACCACAGATTCATCAACTCCCCACACAACCTCAGCAGTCAGTGGTCACCGGGATGCATCCCCAAATGCAACCGCAAGCTATGACAGGTGTTCAGCCTCAGTATAATCCAGGGGTGAATCAGCAATCAAATGCGCAAACTATGATAACGGCTAGTATGGCATCATCACAACAGCCAATGGTTCAAGCGCAACATAGTGTCCCTCAATATCACACGCAACCATCTCAGATGAGCCAGCAAGGACAGACTATGCCTCAAGAGGTGCTCTCAAGTATTGTTACATCACAACAAGGTGCCACCCTTCCGACAAATCTTCAATCAATGGCTACCCAGCCACAAGGCTCCACTTTGCCTGCGAATCTCCAAAGTCTGGCCGGCCAGCAACAGCCATCCGCGGTGCATGCTATGGCACCCCAACAAGGTTCAGTGCCTCAAGGAAACTTACAGATGATGGCGGCGCCACCACAGAATATTCAGATGACACTGGACGGGAATCAGCCGAGCATGCAGATACCCGCCTCAGATCCTATTTTCATGCAGCCTGGCAACGTCGGCCAGCAGATGCCCGTGGGTCAGCACATGAGTCAGCAACAGAGCATGCTGCAGCAGCAGGTGGGTGGTGGGCAGGCCCAAATGCAGTACGTGACGGGCCAGGCCGTGCCGCAGGTGTCGATGGCGCACCAGAACATTCCGATGTCGATGCAGCAGACGATGCCGGTGGGCATGGGCGGTGGCGTGCACGCTGGCGTGGTGCAGTCACAGACCAGCATGGGACTGGGCTATGGTGGCGTGGTGCCAGTCATGTCGCAGAGCAGCGTGGCGCCGGTGGAGGCCACCGTGTCGGGGACCAACTCGCCCGTGGTCTCGATGCCGGTCAGCTCGACCGCATACGTGGCCAACAGTGCACAAGCCGGTCTCGACAGCCAGGGCTTCGGCAGCCCCGTGAGTGCGGTGTCTCATGCGATCAGTAGCTCGGTGATGAGCAATGTGAATGTGAATGCGTGTGAAAGTGGTGCTCCTGAGCCAGCGGCCGAGGGCCTGCAGCCCGCCGACTCCGGCGACGGCAAGGAGGAGCCGCAGCCCGCCCCGCCACCGGAAGACGAAAGGTCAGTTTTCTCTTTATATTCCACGTTTTTTTGTGAAATCAAATGGAATTTGTTAAATTTTATCAGCAATTGGATCAGTTAAATTGTTCTACTTAAACATAATGTACATTAAATATCACAGAAAGATAATTCCACGCTATGGGTTTATCCTTTTTTCATATGACTGAGTACCTACATTTTAATGTCGGTTGAATCCTTGTAGAGATGTGTTGGCCAGTTTGCTTAGCGACAGCATCAGAAAACGTGCGGTGAATCTGTCCGCGAAAATAGCGCATCTGTAGACAATGGAGGTTGTTTTCGTCTCTTTAGGGCGCGTCTCGCACCAACGCAGCGGTTGGTATTCGGATTCCCTTTGATGCTGTTTATTTGCGCTTCGTCCTGCGACGTAAATAGGCGTTTGACACGAGCAGTGCCCGGTGACTCACGCGCATCGCACTCAGAAACTCTCCGAAAGAGTTCGAATTTGCCCCGATCTACTTGCTCGCTTTTTATACTCAGAATAGCTGTTCATAGACTTCAACTAGACGCTATTATCTATTTTATTATCTAGTCGCAGCTGGCCTCCTGTAGTTAGGTCTGTCTCTATCGCAAGGATTAGGTATAGAAACCACATTTTCTTATATTAAACTTAAAATGTACAACAATACAATAGGAATTGTGCAAAAGCGCCGATTAATTCTTTGTACGAAAATCATTCATATTTTAACTAATTAAATAAAAGCTTAATTAGTAGCCTATGTGTGCTTCTAGGCTAATGTAAAATAAAAACATCTATACCAAATTTCAGCGAGATCCATGCAGCCATTCTGGATGCTCTAAAAACATTCAACCATCCATCCAATCATTTGCATTTATAATATTAGTTTGACATACACGTCTTCCATACATCTCTATCAGACATCATGTCAATTATTATATTTCACATGAAAAATGTTTGTATGAGCAATGCACACTTGCAGATTTCGTTCTTAAGCCATTATATTATAATCACGTAAAGGCCGTCAGTAATCGAGTCACGATGTCCTAACGCGAAGGGCCCACGGCGCCAGCCAGCGCCGGCGTCGGTGGTAATCGAGTCGAGAACGGAAGGTCGCGAAACTTGAGCCCTCCATTCCCAACTGATCGCAG